TGAGCCGCCTGTGTGTGAACGATAGCCTCCTGGACACCACTAAAGCTTCGCTGCCACTGAAATACATTCTTAGAAGCTACTGATAAGCAACAGAAGCAGCTTTTGACAGCGTTTTACTTTTATATATGAATAAAAAGCTGATTTAGATACTTACTTGCTACTAAAAGCGACAGCAATGGTTTCAATTGCCTTCTCAAAGTCCTTTTTATCAGCCTCGTTAGAGGACTCATAGTGGAAACCTGGAAAATCGTACATGTGTTCAGCTTTCAGTCGTGGTCAAGAGTAGTTACAGAGTGATGTTGGGTTTTACCGTCATTGTACACCTCAGATTTACATCGAGACTTTCAAAGACGTGCATCTAAAAAAACAGAAGAGTCCGTCTACCTTTGACCTTGGATATGAGTTTGCCGGCAGCAGTGAGGATCTCGACGGTGTTGAGCAGAGGATAAGTGTTGATGACCTGGCGCAAAATCCGAAGCACCTCCCCTAAACACTCGTGGGCCACGGGCCGCTGACTCTCCTTACCTGGGTGAGATAGAGCCGTGGTAGGTGAAACAAGAACCAAGAGGAAAAACAGCGGAACAAGCTTCAAAAAAAAGATCACGCTTGAGGTTTAGGATGTGTTGACTTGCCAACAATAAGCCATCTACTAAAATCGCTGCCAGCGCGTAGCAACTTGTCTCGTTCTCGATACAATATCTACATGAACATTTTGCCGACTTGTGGCACCACCTGAGATACAGTTTAAACAGAATCTTTGCTTCCTTTCCGCAAGAAACACTAAGAACTTGCTGATTTTAATCCTCACATAGCCAAGTCCATGTTCATTAAAGAAATGTAGGTGCTTACAGGTGGAATATTTAAAAACATTTGGCTAGAGCAAGGCTAGCAAGAAACTGAGTGCTATCGATACACTAGCTCTTCCCTGAAATAACATTGCTGAACATCTCCAAGTCTTTCTTCCCAGGGGAACAGCAGATGAAGACTGACAGTTGAAACGCCAACCATAAGGACACTGATAATAGGCCAAGTGTCAGACAGGTCAGCTCCAGATAAACATTGTCAGCTTTAATGTCACTGGTGACACATTTCTAGCCTCCTTTCCTCCAGACACCGGTTTTGTCAACCCTTTAATGTTGCAACCTCGCATTCTTCCATCGAGTCATCTAATCACGCTGGCTCGCTGGTGGAGGAGAGCAGAGGGCAGCTGGTCCATCACCCTCGTCTCCAAATGTGTGTCAGAGGATCAGATTAGCAGCAGCACGCTACAAGAACAGAGTGACCTAAACACAGTGCCGGAGAGGATGTGGTCCCTTCTATTGTTTTGCAACACTACAAACCAACTGTGGTGTTCTGCAACATTTTTTTTTCTCCCTGTGGCTCAAATGTTCTTTTTGAAGTTTCTGAGAACAGCTTTTAATGTCAAAAGAGGTTTTGCTTTAATTAAGAGCACCTCAACACCGCAATTGTATTTTTGATTCTGAAAGTGATCAGTGTCGCATCACTGCAACGCAGCCAGACTATCAAAGGAGGAAGTGCGGACGAGGCCTTTCTGTCAGAGACAATCCATCATGGCTTCCTGTTTAGAAAGCTCTCTGTGGGTGGAGAACGTGACAGAACAGAGCCAGATAACAGACAAGTGAGCTAAACTAGCCAAAACAAGACAGAAACTAGAGAAGACGACACAGTTTGAGCATTCAGCAGGTGGACT